TACAAACTACATCTTCTCAATGTCATACTATTACAAACTTCATCTACACAATGTCAATCTATTACATACTTCCTCTTCACAATGTCAAGCTATTACAAACTACATCTTCACAATGTCATGCTATTACAAACTTTATCTTCACAATGTCAATCTATTACAAACTACATCTTCACAATGTCACGCTATTACAAACTACATCTTCACAATGTCAAGCTATTACAAACTTCATCTTCACAATGTCAAGTCATTACAAACTTCATCTTCACAATGTCAAGCTATTACAAACTTCATCTTCACAATGTCAAGCTATTACAAACTACATCTTCGCAATGTCATGCTATTACAAACTTCATCTTCACAATGTCAATCTATTACAAACTTCCTCTTCACAATGTCAAGCTATTACAAACTACATCTTCACAATGTCATTCTATTACAAACTTCATCTTCACAATGTCAATCTATTACAAACTACATCTTCACAATGTCATGCTATTACAAACTACATCTTCACAATGTCAAGCTATTACAAACCACATTTTCACAATGTCATGCTATTACCAATTACATCTTCACAATGTCAAACTATTACCAACTTCATCTTCACAATGTCAAACTATTACCAACTTCATCTTCACAATGTCAAACTATTACCAACTACATCTTCACAATGTCAAGCTATTACAAACTACATCTTCACAATGTCAAACTATTACAAACTTCATCTTCACAGTGTCAAGCTATTACAAACTACATCTTCAGATTTTCAAGCTATAGCAAAAGCGACTATTAAGCGGTTGGTTGGATTGTGCTCTAAAGAATGCAGCCAATCCAAGCCCTCGACAGAGAGTCTGTAAATATTGTGAATTTGTTTTCACAGAATTTCTGTCGAGGCCTCTGATTGGCTGTATTCACAAGCGTACAATCCAATCAAATCGCTTCATTTACAAACATCATGAGGTAAAAAGTATAAAATTTCAAAGATTTCTATTTGGGTGTGTGTTATGTAAGATAGTGATCGGTTGATAGTGAAATCTAAAGAGGCCTTCATATTACTTTAATTGAAAGAGTATTCAATAAAAACCGAAATTGAGGTATCTCTGGAAGATGAAAATTATAAACATTGGATTGTTATAGCATCTCCAACCTCCAGATATCTCATTACGCCCAGTAACAAACTCTCTTTCCTTTTGGTTTATTTACTCTTTTAGTACAAGAATTCGACCATCACGCCAGGGGATTTAAAAGTTGTTAAAATCTTTAAAGAATGTTCAAGTTAAAACAGAGATGATATGTTTACTACACAAACACGTTTAAAATTCAACACTAATGTACCAAAACACAACAATTCAATGAATGGAGTTTGGCGTCTTATTCCACTGTACCATGTGGGCTGATGGACACCAGCAACGCCATGCAGTGTGCAATGAGGGTAATTGTGCAAGGATAGTGGCATTAGCCTTCTCCTTTTCGATTTCCAACTGTCTTTATAACGTTTATATCCATTTAAACCAGGAAGGGACGATACATGGCGCTTCATTCATTCATTCATTCATTCATTCATTCATTCATTCATTCATTCATTCATTCATTCATTCATTCATTCATTCATTCATTCACACCATTTGATTCATGTCAAAGCCACAAGAGAAATGTCCAAATTAATACATCAAAATAGAAGTTATGTCTTAAAAAATGACAGCAAGAAAACATCCATCAATTTTGTTATAATATTTTACTGTTTATTTATTGATTTTGTATGTAATTCATAGAGTTATAAATAAAATAGGTTTAAAAATACGTTTTAATTCTGTATTATATCAGAAAATTTCTAAATTTCAGCATTTTTAGGACAGTGACGGTTAAACGTTTTACTTAATGGACTGATCGTGATTCGGGATATATGATATTCTGTATAATACATACATTATATTCAAAGACAACACACTAAAATAATATTATACCTGGTAATTAATTACAAACCTATTCTTGTTACATTTGATCAAACCGGCTTATAGGAGAGTCGGAATAAGAGAATAATTTACCTGTTAGTACATATCATATAGAACACCTGATGGTACTTTTCTCTTGAGGAGACCACTACTATACAACTTTTACTCCTGATTTTGCCATACTTTGAACGAGATTTTGAATCATGGAATTGTCTTGCTTGTACAGATTTGTATGTAATAAATTTAAAGAAATATTTAATGTCTGAGGAAGTTAGTAGGTATATTGAATAAAGCCCCCAGTTTATCTCAGTGTATTTGAATATAAACTTCAATAGGGTATTGATAATCTTAGAATCACCTTGCGTTGATAAATATACAGTTTACATTGAAAAGAAACACGCTTTCCTCCCAGAATTTTCAACCGAAAATGTCCTATATTTTTTTTAAATTGTTCTCTGTAAAAACAAATTTTAAGATGATAATGTTTGCTAATGTCGTTCAAAGATTACCAGAACTATTTTGAAGTTTTATTTTAAATTCACTTAAATAAGAAAGGGCAAAATTCGATATTTCAATGACCTTGCTCAGACATAAAAAGGCAAAATTGTTTTTTCTTGTGTATCTATAAAATTAAATCGAACACGTACACCAAATAAACTACAAAGTGAATTTGACACATCAATCACAATTTGATTTGATTTATATATCATATTCATTCAATGAATACAATACTTAGTGTGTGACGAAAAACGTTTTACATCCTACTTTCTGTTTCAGAATGGGCTTAGGTCCTGGTATAATTTCCCTTATTTAATACCGCGTGGTTTTGTCCGTCTTCATTAGCCTAAGAAGGACGTTAAACCTCATTTTATTTCATTGGCGGTGCCAGCCCACCGAGACTTGGGATACGAATAGGGGCCAGACTGACTCAATAGGGGTGGGAGGGGGATTTGTCGAGGATGGATTTTAAAATAGGGTAGCTCTGTGTAGGCATCAAGCTTCTCATAGAATGTCTCGAAATCCACGAAAATTGGGAAGGGGGCTTGAGGGTGCACGTTGGAAGACGTTAACGTTGGCTAGGATTTCCTAGGTTCTTACCTTCTAACATTGATTCTAGGATGTCCTAGGTTATTATCTTCTAACATTGGTTCTAGGACATCCTAGTGCTAAGATCGTTTCGAGAATATGTGGCCAGAAATACGGTTAGAGCCAAACCATTCTCCAGTTTAACAGTTAACTTAAGATTGGACACTTGATTGTTTCTAATATTTCTATCGATTCGATATGAACAAGAAATGTTTTGTGAGGACTAAATCCAGTGAAATGTTGTTAATCCTTCAAGATTATCAATAATATCGACAGTTTGAAGTCGGTTTGTTTCTAGATCATTTGAACTAGATTCAAGTTGGACACTAACTTTATCAATATGAAATCCCCAGATTACCTTTGGACCGCGAAGATCAACCATAAAAGGCACATCGATTTTCAATTTCAAACTTCCGTGCGGGCATTTTTGGTCTCTCCACCGTGGTTTTGAAAATAATGGGACGAACCACCACTGTAAGGCTCGAAACTAGAGCCTTCAAATTCATGTTTGTCCAGAATTATCAGCGTTTGAATGTTAAAATGACAACTTGTCTTTTCTTGACACTGTCAAATATAGAAAAAGAAAGTGAAATTCCTAATTTGAAGTAATTTTGAAGGAATTGTGAGATTTTCGAACATTTCTTGTACTTCTAAAGACTATTAAGATAAATTCAAGACCCATGTCAACCCCCGAAATGGCGAATCTCTCCCTTTAAGACCAGTTTTACAGTTTACTTTCTTTGTATCTTATATAAGATTTTAAGACAATATTTACATTATCCAATTCGGAATTAGCAGACAAATGTCAACTCTATAATTTTATACAGCAAAGTAAAATGTAAGGTATTTAGAGACACGATTCGGCCATTAGTCGAACAATTAAAGAACAAACAAGGTTTTGTGAATACGGTTAAAAACAGAAGATTCGAATGTAATAGGTAAACAAGTGAAAAAGCCTAGAGATCAACATTCAATATTTAAACTTTTTTAAACTATTCTAAATATCATGTTTCTTCATCGATATTTTTAACTTTAATTCTTTTTAAAGGTAACTTGAAAACTAAACTAATAGATGTGTGGGATAAGGCGTCTTGTGTCTTGAAGAGAAAAACTGTGGCGTTTAGGGGGGTGTGGGGAGTCTTTTGCTTTTTTTGTAGCTTTTGCCGCCTTCCCCACCCACTTTCAAATTACCACTTTACATATTGAAAGAATTGTCTTTGCCCTCCAACCCTCTTCAAATTTTGTAGCTCCTGTTCGACAACCTTACAGGGCTTACATTCTTACAGTTTTCTGGTTCTTTTGTAATGTATATATCAGGCGCATATATGATTTCTATTCACATAATTCCGATTGTCCTGATGTTTCTGTAAAAATAAAAATGCCTAAACGTAAATGACAAAACTATCACAAAAGCTTCAAAAAATAGGACCTTAGCGAAAGTGACGTCATAAATTATAAAAAACTTAGTCTTTGTAGAATTGCGCGAAACTTGGGGGTGAAAAATGCAAATCGATGCTATTCCTTGTACACATAAATACTTATAAAAATCTTTCTAAAATCCTTGTAATCCATTAGAGGATAATTCAACAAATTATTGAACCTTGTCTTACTATCTATTACGTTAGACTGATAGAAATAGAGAAATGAAATTTGACTCAAACTGACCCCAGTATAACAACATAACTGTATTTAAACTAGAAATAAAAATTGATTAGTTATATAATTCGTGATGAAACGGCTTATTAAATTGTTTATATTTTGAATTGTTTACAAGTTTGTTTATTGTTTATTCTATGATTTGTTTGTTTATTAATATTAGTCTGAAGTAAACAGAGAAATAAACATTATGGGTTAGATAGCTGAGTTTAAACGTGATGTATTCAGACTTAACTTTTAACTCCCGGATCAGATCTTAAACATCAGATTCAAGTTTTTAAATTACAAAATTCTTAGAATTTCTTCCGTATAAAGGAAACAGAATTTCGAAGTTTTTTTGAGAAATAAATAATGAAATATAATAGAGTTTTTGTGTAAACTGTATTGTAATATATTTAGATTAGAGGTTGTCATCCTATTTCCCTCTCCTTTCCATTATAATTCCTGGCTATTTCGTGAATTCCTGGAAATCGTTTCATGTTAGAGAACATAGCCTGATTGAAAAGAACCACTTTTTAACTGTTTATAATATATATTTAGAATACCGTTCAGTGGCAGTGCCAGTAGGGATACAAATATAATTCTTCGACCTTTTTGCCACAAAATGTGTGTCAGTACGGACCAAATCGATAAAATTTTCGAAAATTTTCTTGGGAGAACCCTTTTAGAAGCTGCGTGAGAGGCCTGAGACTATGGCGCCTCTATAGTCACGAGAGGCTGGCGACGTTTTACATGCATATACATATTAAAATAAAGATTTGGTTAAGTTCTCACGATACAAGTTAGCTACAAGACGTAATCCATGTCCATGAATTCGTCGTTAGGACTGATGCTTGTCGGTTGTGGTTAAATACTGTAAACGTTGCCAGTTTTTTTCCATGTGATGCTTGAAATCCAAAGTTTAATGTTTACTGCCTGTATTTACTACATCACAGCGGCCAGAGATTTGGATCTGCAAGATTTTAATTGATTACATGCAGTGGCGGAGCCAGGTTTATGTCCGAGGCGGGGGGCGAAATATCTGAGATTGCCCGAATTTCTAATATAGTTGTGAGATTTTTGTCCGAAAAACTTGTTTTCGGGGCTGCAAGGGGGGGGGGGGG